TGTTTATGCTTGTGATCAACATGTCTGCTCAGGTATGCCATATGTAAATTATTCATAAATAGGAAACATTGTGGAGAAAAATAGGTAAAATATTTTTTTAAGCGGGATATCTTTGTGATGGTGGGATTTTGTTTTTGAAAGTGAGGGTATTTTTCTCACTCCTGCTTTTTTTTTTGCTCACCGTTGACGCTGGGGGTGATGGCCACCACAGCGCTGCTCTGTCCCTCGCCGACGCGCGTGTGCGCCGTGACCCAGAACTCGTAGCGGTGCTTCTTGCGCATGCCGGGCAGGCGGAACACGAGCGGCGCGCCCTGCGGCTGCCCGCTGCCCTGCGGCTCCACGGGCTGCGCGGGCACGGGGTTGTTGCGCGCGTCCACCTGCCGCCCGCCCTCCAGGTCGCGCACGTACACGCTGTACTTGGTGAGCTGGCCGTTGGGGTGCGCCGGCGGCAGCCACGTCACCAGCGCCATGTCGGGCGCCTGCAGCACCGCCTTCACCCCGCCGGGCTGGCCTGGCACTGGAGAGCAAATGGGATACATGTACTACCGAGGCGGCAATAACTCCGGGAATCATGTGCACACCTGTCTGGGAATCATCAGGATAAAAATTGATCAAAATCAATAGAAATCGCTTTAGAATAAGGGCGAAACTAGAGAAATAAGTACAAATCAGTCGAAATAGGAGTTTTATACCACTAAAACCCTCCGAAAAACCCTATGTAATAATTATAAGCGGACGGGAATCACCGGGAATCAAGAATTTCGGGAATCATGTGTACACTTCAAAAGGGAGTTATTGCCCCCTCGTGTACTACGGAGTCCTGAAATGAAAGTCAATAGAGACCCCATGTGGTCTTTGCACCTCGGGGTCCAAATATTATGGGGTCCTACGAACTCCAATAATAATCGTGATAATTTTGGGACCCCATAATATTTGGACCCCATGACCTCCATAGACCCCATGATATTCACACCACGGGGTCGGGGTATATATATCATGATGTCCTACTAACTCGAATGATGCTCATCCTCACTTTAGGACACCATAATATTTGTACACCCCTTGAAAGTCATATGTCGTACTGAAACGACCCCCAACACAATTTGGCGGCGTATTCAACGTTACCAGGTTCCATACTACAAGTCGCCTCTGCTGCTTACCGTCCTCCTTGGTCCTGCAGAAGATGGGCGCCGACATGTTGCCGTCGCCGACCCGGGTGAAGGCGAGCACCTGCACGCTGTAGTTGGTGTACTTGAAGAGGCCGTGGAGCGTCGAGCTCAGCTCGGTCGTCATCTTGTTTTGCGTCTCAGCCACGTCTGCGGAGGAAAAGGAAGGGCGCGCGTGAGTACCTGGACGACTGTCTGCAGCACGCAGGTCTCCACAAGGGGTACTTCACTCACAAAGAAACAGTGTACAACCACAAAAAAAGAGAAAAAAAATTAGGATAAAAAGGTCAAGACTTTTTAAAAAGAAATCAAAAACAAACAGAAAAATTGGTTTACGCCTGAATGATTGATAGTGAAGTACCCCTCGGGTCGCAGCAGACTAACCAAGCTGGTCTTGCACGGGCTGGTACAGCAGCCGGTAGCCCTGGATGACGCCGTGCACCAGCGCCTCGGGCGGCGGCTGCCAGTGCACTCGCAGGGACTCGGGGGACTCGGGCGAGCAGTGCACGTCCCTGGGGGCGGCCTCCGGGACTGTCGGAAAAAAAAAGAAAATGGAGCACGAGTTAGTCAAACACGCCAAGTCAAGCTCCCCTGCTTCGACCTTGCGGATAGGATATCACACCAATCGATTCTTGAAAAGGTAAAACAAAGAAAACAACAAAAAACGCCCACGTCCCACGTGACTGGTCGAGAAATAAAGGACTCGGCTTATAATGCAGAAGCGCTGCGCTCCCCTTCCTGGCGGACGCCTTCGATTTCTCTGTGAACGCCGACAGCTGAATGGTGCATGTGTGCGGTGTGTGCTCCTGCGATAGGGGGCTACTAACATCACGCGGCCGAACTAGCAGCTCATTGTGGCCTGGCGACTTCCACACAGAGGATGAGACCCAGCGTTTATCTGTCGTGGCTGTGCCTGGAAGAGGGGCGTCTGCAACGGTTCTTGTTCACCATGTTCAGATGTGCGGTATGCACCTCTTAGTAGTTATAATATTTTTTATTTTTCCCGCCGAAACGCATTTCATAAGAATCTGGCGGGCGTATTACGCCTTGAATGAGAATTCAAATACAAATTTGAAACTGAAAATAATATTACCCGCACTTCTTTTTCCAAATCGTTTCAAAGTCCTCGGTAAATGCCATGCCCTCTACACAAACAGGCCACCGCACTGTTCATGGCCCTGTGCTCCGTCTCCCTGCTGGCCGCCATCCTGCTGCGGCCCGAGACCCTGAGGGCGGACATGATACCCGTCTGCGTCCTGAGCTCCTGCCACTCGACGTTCATGGCGCTCGCCATGATGCGCGGGGGGCGCCTGTGGCCCATACTCCACGAGATGACGAGGCTCGTCCAGGTCTTCGAGGACGCCCCCGGCGACAAGGTTTAGGGGTCGTTCCAATACTACGTGACTTTTAGGGGGGGGGGGGATATTGTGGGATCCCAAAAGGACAAGAAACATCATCGGAGTCCATATAGACCCCATGATATTTGTACCCCGGGGTACAATATCATCGGTCCTACCGGCATCAATGGTGGTCCTGATCCTTTTGGGACCCCAAAATATGTGTACACCCTTAAGTCGCGCAGGATTGAAACAACCCCTTAAATGGCTTCACGCGAAGGCAACAACTAAAAGTAAGTTGGCAAGAGAGTGATGAACAGGCTGTGCACGCAGGTGTGGGTGGCGCGCACGCGTCAACACGGCGTCAGGTTCTGCACGTACCAGCTGGCGATGTGCGCGTTCATCATCCCGAGCACGATCGTCAACATGGCCCTCACGGGCGTGCCCTTTATCGCTCTCTGGCCGCTGCAGCCGCACGCGGGCGCCTGGGGCCTGCGCGTCGCCCACCTCGTCTCGGTCGCCGTCCTCCTCGTCATGACGGTCGCCCTCCCCTTCATGAACATGATCGTGACGTGCTTCACGGGCGCCGCCACCGGCCTCCACCACGCGCTGGCGCGGCGGCTGGACGAGCTGGCCGAGGCCGAGGCGATGACGCCCGAGGCCGTCAGGGACCTGGTCCTGGCGCACGAGCGGCTGCGCCGCCTGACCCTGGACCTCACCGACTTCTTCGCCACCAACCTGACGCACCTCTTGGTCTGCCCGTTCTGCAACTCGCTGGTTGCCACCGTCGAGGTAGGCTTATTGTAGTGAGCAAAAACGGCTAGGTTTCCAGGTTGAACTCATTTCATTGATAAACTGGCAAATATTGAGCTCATAGTTGCACACTTACAAATGCTTTTCATTTGCACACTTGGTTTATCAGTATTTGACGTCAAACGAGGGTCGTTGACCCGTTTTTGACCCGGGATTGTGTTGCCTACGAGTGACTGCGGCCAAAATTTCAAAGCACCATAGCAAAGCATCTGGCGAGGTCGACTTCAGGGCATTGGATACAATTGTTTTTAAAAACGCTACGTGTTGCTCCGTGCGCAGCTGGTGAGCGCCGGCAACGCCGTGAGCGTCCACACGATCGGCCTCCTGCTGCCCGTGGTGGTCATCTTCCTGCAGCTCTCGTACTTCAGCCAGGAGCTGTCGGACGCCAGCCTGGCCCTGCAGTGGTCCGCCTTCCGGCTCGCCACGGGCGGCGGCGTGGCGCTGGCCGAGGTCCGCGCGCTCCGCCTGGTGATGCTGGCCGCTGGCAGGCAGCCGGCCCTCAGCTGCAAGGGGCTGGGCCGGCTCAGCCTCGAGGCGGCCAGGTTGGCCTTCCGACAATTCTACTCGACCGTCAACGTGCTGCGTTCGCGAGACTAATTTTTTAGCTTTTAAGCTAAATCTTTCGCTGCTGAGCTAATTCTTTTTAACTCTACAGCCCGTTCTCAGCTGATGGTTTACCTATAGAGCTAATCTTTTCATTCGGCGCTGTTCTGTGATCGAGAGAAACCACACCCCTCCTACTTACCGTCCTCCAACGTCTGCGCGACGACCTCGGTGGACAGCGGGCCGGCGCCCTTGGGGTTGTAGGCCTGCACCACGACGCCGTACTGCTTGTACTTGCTGAGCCCCGCCAGGACGGTGGTGGTGCTGCCGGCCGCGCCCGCGCCCTCCCACGGCACCGTCGCAAACGTGTACTGCCGCTTGCCCTCCGGGTCGCGGCCCAGCTCGCGGTGCCCGACGTAGTGGCCGAGCAGCGGGCCGTGCCACGAGTCCGCCGCGGGCGCCTCCCACTTGACCGTCAGCTGGGTGGACGAGGACGCCTCGACGGCGAGGTGCGTAGGCGCGGCGGCGGGCGGCTCCTGGTCCGTGGGCACGGCCAGCCGCTTGGACGAGGGCCCGACGCCCAGCGAGTTCTCGGCCAGCACCGTGACGGCGTACAGCGAGGCGGGCCGGAGCGCCGACAGCTGGGCGCTCTGCAGCGGCGCCTCCACCGCCACCTCCACGACGGCGCCGCCACCCCCGAGGCCACCGCCGGCCGCGCTCTCCGTGACGGCCTCCTCCCAGCCGTCCACGTCCTCCCCGGGCACGAGCCGGTAGCGCACCAGGTAGCGGGTGATGACGCTGTTGCCGTCCTGCGGCGGCGCCCACGCCACCGACGCCGTCCTGGAGGTCTGCTCCACCAGCCTCAGGTTGCCCACCGCACCCGGGACGTCTGCAAAACGACCATGTTTTTATTTTCCAAACTTTGTAATGATTATTCATTTTTCAAATCATTTAATCCCCAGCCAGGAATAAAAAGGAGTAAATTAGTACTTTCTTAAGCATCGCGTGTGTTCCCCGCTCACCTTGCACGAGGAGGCTGATCTGCGTCTGGTCGTAGCCGTACTCGTTGCGCCCGAAGCAGGTGTACAAGCCGCCGTCGTCGCTCTGCAGCCCTTGCACCAGCAGCTCGGAGCGCAGGCCCAGGCGCACGCCGCTCGACAGCGACGAGTTGCGGATGCTGCAGACATTACGGCGATATTTACCAATTATAGCAGCTCATTACACCTTAGGGATCGACTAGAAAGTACGTCCGGTTTTTTGTAAGATTCATTCGACAAGTTACGGGAGCCTTGGCGCCTGCGAGAGTCTGGGTGGGCCCGCCCGCAATACACGCATGCACTGCAGGCATGGCGTTGCCTACCCACCAGGCGCTATGAGAGCTAGGACAGCGGCTGAACCAGATGACTTTGAGGGGAAAGGGGGGGGGTCCAAATATTAATGGGGTCCCAAAATGTTCAGGAGGGTCAAAAGAGTCCATGGGGACCTCATTGTGATATTTGTTCCTCCTGGTAAAAAAAATATGATGTGTGGTCTCCATGGACTTAAATGACCGTCCTGAACATTTTGGGAACCCATATGATATTTTGAACCCCCTAAAGTCACGTGGTTCGTACACTCTGTTAGGGTTGTAAATTTCAGAAAGTTGCCGGAAAATTTCAGAAAAATTTCAGAAAGGTTCCGGAAAAAAAGGAAAACTTCCAAAATCTGGGAGATTTTTCTTTTTTTTCCAGGAAATTTTCCAATTTTCCTGGAAATTTTCTGGAAAATTTCCGGAAAATTTCCAGGACTTTCGCCTCTACTCTTTGTGGTAGCGCGTGCTCACCTGAAGCGGCCGCCGCTCTCGATGGGCGCGCCCCCTCGCCGCCAGGTCAGCGTGATGGGCAGGTCGCCCAGGGCGCTGCAGCTCAGCGTCACCGTCTGCCCGCGCCGGGCCAGCTCCTTCCGGGAGCGGGCCGCGAAGTGCACCGGTGCTGCGGAGCATCACATTCATCAATAGGGATTAGATAGAGATTTTACTACGAAGTATTTTCTGATTTTTTCCCCCCAACTTTTCCAAAAATATCTTTTATGGAAATTTTTCTAAATGCACCTAAAGATAGTTTGTCGAAAATTGTCTAAATTGACCAATAAATAAAGTTTTTGAAAAAATAATCAAATTTACCAAAATAGTATTTCTTTAAATTATGACAAGAATTGTTAAAATCTCTTATTTTCCCCAATTTTGTTGGTTTTCCTCACAGTGGACGACGAGAGTGACGACGGCGCTGAGCCCCACGCCGATGCCGTTGCTGGCCTCGCAGAGGTAGCGGCCCGCGTCCTCCTGGCGGACACGCTCCAGGACGAGGGACCCGTTGGCCAGGATCGTCATGCCGCGCGGCGAGGCGCCGCCGTCGAGCGCGTCCAGGGCGCCGTCGTCCGCGCCCCCGAGCCCCATGACGGCGCGGGGCAGCTCCGTGCCCACCACGTCCTGGTACTGGCCGGGGTCGTCGGCTGCAGAAGACAAACATGATAATAATCACACTATTCAGATGACAGACGACATCTCTGTCAGAGGACACCTCTGTCAGACGACATCTCTGTCAGAGGACACCTCTGTCAGACGACATCTCTGTCACAGGCCCTGCACTGCGTGTACTCACTCGCCGCCTTCTTCCACGTGACGCTGGGTTGCGGGAAGCCCTCCACCTGACAGTCGAGCAGCGCCGCCTGGCCGAGCCGCGTTTCCTTGTCCGAGGGGACGACGACCCAGGTGGGTGGAACTGCGGGGGAAAAACCGATACCGTCAGCCCATACGACATTCAGCAGAACGACGCCAACGTGGATTCCACATTATTAGACTATTATGAATTTTCCCGCCGGAATCAGATTTACTTCAACCCCACTCTTAAAACTTTTAGTGTAAATGCACAAGTAAGGGTTTTTTTTTTCAGCAGCAAAAACTGCCATCATCATGATCGTGAAATACGACTATATGCAACGCAATGCTAGCCGCGTGGTCTTAGAACGAGGTGTTCGTTTCGACAATGAGGGGAGGTGGGCGTGCAACGTCATCTCTGGTGGTGACGGGGCGCGAGAGTGAGGCTAAACTTTTAAACTTAAGCGCTGCTAAAAAGGGGACATCCATGATGCGCGGGACAACAGAAAAGTGTGCAAAACATTCAGACGCTTTACAACGGCGTGACAACCATATAGCGACACGTTATTGCACATTTTTATTTTGCACGCGTGACGTTAATAGTCGACCGGAAACGTTTCAACGTCACACACACTTTCCGATCGTCCAGCGTCTCAATTTGGACCAGAGTGAGAGTGAGAGAGAGAGATAGGTTCGTTTAGGGCAAACTGACGCGCAAGGCTTGAGGCCGCGTAAGGCACGAGGACAGCGAGAAGATGGAGAAGGGATGCAGCAGAGACCGCCGGAAGCGGAGCAGGATGAGGAAGCCAAAGCCGTGCCGAGCCGTGCCGTGCGCCGTGAAAGCCACCGGAAATGCACATCGGAAATGCACTGGTTTGCTACGCTATTGGCCGAATCGTTTTCGTCTTTTGATACAATTAACATGCTACTATGTAAAGCAGGCAAGCGATGTTGGCGAAGCAGTGCTGCGGCAGCCAGTCACACGCATACACACACACAACAACCTCTACGAAGTAATTGTTTTAAAAGCATGCACGCAAAGAAAAGAAAAGGCCCCATTCGGAGCCGGGTTCCTTCAAAAAAAATTTCTATCGCAGTTTTTTCTTCTTTTTTTTTTTAAAAGCTAAAGAAACTTTTTGTGGCATTCCGTCGTAGTTGATGCGCTTGACCAAGCATGTAAATTTTTGCGAAATACTTCGTCGCTATATAAGGAACCGGCTGCAATCGAATGGGGCGCGGATAAAGCAAGATTGATCCGTTTACCTGCAGTCTTAATGCGTTTTAGCATTTCGTGCGTTTCGGAGAAGAGAGAAGCGAGTTACGCACGTCAACCGCGTGTCATCCTGGGCGGTGATGGTGGCCTTGAGGCAGGCCAGCGGGCCAGGCCGGGCGAGGCGGACTAATGCTGGGAAATGGCCGTCGAAACCATGTCGGGAACGACATCGTTGCGACGTCAAATCTGTGTTTTTTTTTGTGTTTTTTTCTTTCTTTATATCATTTTTTCGATATCGTTTCGACATGGTTTCGATGTCGTGTCGCTAAACACCATTTCGCACTTAAGCGCGACGCGGACATATTGTTATTTCTGTTCAGTCTTTTTCAAGGGGGAGGGGCGATTTCTGAAACGGTCTAAAACACAAGACCGTCATCTTTCCCTCTGAATAGCGATATTTCAAAAGTTTTGGGTCTGACTGTGTCCGTTTTGGGTTCCATTTAGTGCTCTACAAGCAGAAGCACCATGGCCGGAGCGAGGCGCTGAAGTAGAAAGGTTGAGTTTTGACCCTACCAGTGATAACTAGGTAGTGAAGAAATGAATGTTTATTGAAGGTAAATTCTTACCCAATTGAATGTTTCTTTTTAAAGTGGACGTGTTTATCGTAATGAAAATACAATTAGGCAGGTGTTCTTATCGTGAAACATGCCGGACGGGACGACTATAACATTACTTGAGGTATGTATAAAGCAATACAACTTTCACACTAAAAGTTTACGAACATTTTTATCCATAGCTTACTGAGTTCGGTGTACGTGCTCTGCTTACGCATTTTTTAATACGCCGGTGTGAACCCATTTGTTCATACTGGCGTACAGTGGACTCTCGATAAGTGTCGCCTCGATAACTGCCGCGTGCGAGAGAGATAGCTATAGAAAAATAGCGCGTTCCACGCGGACTGACTGCCGGCTCCGGCGGCTCGCCCGACTCGCCTGCCGGAGGAGTGGGGAGAGCGGAGCACGGCAGCAGCGAACGCACAGTACCCTCGATAACTGTCGCGGCGACAGTTATCGAGAGTCCACTGTATTTAAAAATTCGTAAGCAGAGCACGTACACGAAACTCAGTAAGCTATGAATAAAAATGTTCATAAGCTTTTAGTGTGTTCCTCAAGGACAAAACACAATCCTCGTATTCCTGTTTTACCACTGGCAGGCAAAGTGAAATGTCAGTTAAACACACACACACTCGCTCACTTTCAACGGCCAGAGCCTCGCCGGTGAATGTCATCGCCAACCCCCTAACGTGAACATGCGAGGGAGAGAGACACTGTATAAGCTGGTAGGCAGGTCCCCGACTGAGTGGGTGTCACAGTTGGCACTACTGGAGAGAGGAGCCGGGCGGAGCGCCTCGGCCGGAAGGTCTAGCCTGGCCGTGGCACCGGCCACGCCTACACAGAGTCCTAGAGTATACAACAGCAGTGCGGCCGAGGAGAGGTCAGGCAGCCCTAGAGATGCAACAGCTTAAATTTATCACTCAAAATTCTGAACAATTTCTTCAAAAAAAGGTGAATCTTTTGAAAATCTCTCCAAAGTTGGGTGACATTTGACATT